CCGGGCGGTGCCAGGCCGGGGGGGGACCCAGCACCGCCTGGGCTCGGGCGGTGCCAGGCCGGGGGGGGACCCAGCACCGCCCTGAGTGGTCACTAGGTGTCAGCCGCCCTCTGCTAAATCAAATCCCTGAGCATCACATCCAAGCGATTTTTAAACACATCCCTCCGTGGGGAGCCCGTTCCAGTGTTTAACAACCCTTTGTTTTTTTTTTCCTGATATCGAAACTAAACTTATCCTGGTGCAACCTGAGGCCATTTCTCATCCTGTCACCAGTGAGAAGAGACCAATCCTGCTCTGCTGCAATCACCTGGTATTGGAAGAGAGCAATAATGTCTCCCCTCAGCCTTCTCTTCCCCAGACCAAACAGCCCCAGTTCCTTCAGGTGCTCCTCGTAGGCCATATTCTCCAAGCCCTTCACAAGCCTTGTTGCCCCTCAGACCAGCTCCAATGTCTCTTTTGTCCTGAGGTGCCCAAAACTGAACACAATACTCAAGGTGGAGCCTCACCAGTGCTGAGTACAGGACCATAGTCCTGCTCACCAGACAATTTCTGATACAGAGGTCCCTTCCAACCTGAGCTGTTCTATGATTCTCATGTGCAGGTGGAGTTTCCTGGGCTCTGTTACGAGCCTGTTGCTGGGCACCTCAACAAACAGCCCAGCCCCCCGTCCTGTTCATACCCACCTCCAAGATATTTCATAGAATCACAGAATGGCCCGGGTTGGGAGGGACCTCAAGGATCATGAAGCTCCACCCCCTGCTGCATGCAGGGCCACCAACCTCCACATTTCATACCAGCCCAAGCTGCCCAGGGCCCCATCCAGCCTGGCCTTGAACACCTCCAGGAATGGGAGCATCCACAGCCTCTGTGCAGCTGTTCCAGCACCTCACCACTCTCATATTAAAGAACTTCCCCTGACATCCAACCTAAATCTTCCCTCCCTCAACTTAAAACCATTTCCCCTTGTCCTTGTAAAGAGTTGACTCCCCTCCTGTTTGTAGGCTCCCTTTAGGTCCTGGAAGGCCCCAATGAGGTCACATTTGTACGTGTTGATCAGATCCCTTCTCAGCCTTCCCTTCCTCAGGCTGAACAGCCACAGTGCTCTCAGCCTTTCCTCATCAGGGAGATGCTTCAGGCCCCATTCATCTTCATGGCCCTCTGCAGGGCTCTCTCCAGCTGTTCCCTGTTTGGCTTGAACTTGCCTTGAACACTGGGTGCAGTGCTCCAAATATGCCCTCGCCAGGGCTGAGCTGGGGAGGATAACCCTCACTCTGCTGGCAACACTCTTTCTAATGCAGCCCGGGATACCATTGGTCTTCATGGCCACAAGGGCACACTGCTAGCTCATGATCTCTTCTTGCTGTGCTCAGTACACGTAGCACCATAGATTGGTTTGAATCGCGAGGGACGTTAAAGTTCATCTCATTCATTCCTATTCTGCTTTTCTGCAGCCAGCTCTCCCAAATTCTCTCCACAAATGAGCTGCAAGAATTGAGTGATGAGGTCTTCAGACTCAGCACTGTACATGAAATTGCACTGAATGCTGACTTGGAAGTGCACATGGTCAACTTCCCCCCACACAGGTGTGTGTATATCAATAAATACACATATTCAGGCTTGGCTTCTTTTTATCATGTCACAGAAAACATGTGAGAACATGGAAAGGAGGTGGGTTTGGCCTGAGAATAGAAACAAGAAGATAGTTCCTGGAACAAAACAAAGACTTGATTTATTCATCACTTCATTATTTACTAAGAAGTTCTTAAATACGATGAGTATCAGATGTGACTCACAATGAAAGAAATGGAGGCTTCAGCTCTGACTTTGACACAAGGCAAAACGTTCTGTGGACACCTCTCAAGTGTCTGCACATCAATTAAGGATCTGTTTAAGTCGCCGATGTTTTTTCTTTCCTGGAAAGGTGAGCACTGGTTAGAAAAATGCTCTGTTGATCTTTTCTGAGGACTGAAAGAGTTTCTGTGGAAAATTCACAGTTCTTTCTAACCCACTATGAAGAGGGGCTAAGTGCAGTTATGAACAGAGGTGAGAATAAGGAGCTCCATTTTAGAAGAATGGGAAATGTAGGTTGAGAGAGATTTCTATGAAAAACTAAAAGTCCAAAGACCAACTGAGAGGTTGTGTTTATCTGATGTTAATAGAAACCTCCCTCTCTTCTTTCTTAGCCTGGAAAATAGAGTGAAGGAGACACTGCACAAAGCCTTCTGGGACCACCTGAAAAAACAGATCTCTGCTAGTCCTCCAGACTACACTCAGGCAATCCAACTGCTGCAGGAAATAAAAGAGGTCAGCTGGTCCTGACATGGGAAGGACGGGTACCTTAGAATTAGTCTTCCCTTGCATCCAAATAATCCCATGTGAACAGCATAAGAGGGAAGAGAAAATAAGCTCCATTTGGTTTACAGGGAAACAGAACTTAAATAGCTGCACCTTCTAAAACCTGACTGGGAAGGAAACTCGTTCTCTGGTCCCAGGTCTGTAAAACACTCTACCAAAATGACAAAAAGCCCATGTAACTGTTGGTTTTAGTAATAACAAGAACCTCACCAATGCCATTGTCTGTACAAATGCAACCCTTTAGGTGGGTGACAAACAGTACCTCCTATGCAGGTGTACACTGTAATCTTTAAGAACATTGCTTAGAACTAAAAGAAAATTGTCTTAGCGTGGCATGGAATCGCGTATGGTTTGCTTTCCCAGGCAGATAACTCCCTACTTTTTTTGTGTGAGGTAAAGGAGATTTTGCAATATGTGCAACAGTGGCCAGACATTCTGAAATGAGTCATTAAAGACAAGCATGCCCTTAAAGCAACGGTGTGGCCCAGAATTTGTGTGCTGAGTCTCACCCAATTCAAGGCCAGCCTCGATTTCTGTTGCGCGATGCAGTTCTGTGGGAGAACCAGAAAACAGGCCAGAGTGCTGCTTCTTTGGGCAGGCTCTGTTATTACTGCTGCTGTCTCAGAACAGCTGCAAAGCCAAATTGAAGGAGTCCTGGACGTGGAGCTGATTAGGCAGGAGGCTGAGCACGGGGCTCTGGACATCCGCGCTCTCACCACCAGCATCCTTGGCACGATGGCAGTGCTGTGCGCCTTTTTGAGATGAGGAAGTGCAAGGACTGCAAAGCCTCACAGACCCAGCTGAGCTTCTCAAGTGGGTGTTGCTTTACTCCGTCTTGCAGACCAGCAAAAGCATCAACAGTAAAATATGGGGTTTAGAGAAAACTGCCCTGCACTTGTATCTTTTTTTCCCCTCCATATGTAGATATATTTGTGTTACCCAGCTGTTCCCAGACCATAGAAGAGTCTCCAATGAAGTAAATCTAATTTTTCTAGTAATTTTTAGGGACCAGAAACCCCGATTAGACTGAGCAGCCTTTTGTCAGAAAATGGAATGAGGTCAGAGGGTCTGAATTCCTCTTTCTCAGTATTCCAAAATGACCTCCAACTATAGCTTTTAATACCGTATTAAGCTTTCCAATCATTGTGCCTCATCTCAGGGAGATCCTCCGGATGCTGGACCTGATGAAAATGGATACGCTGAATTTTACCATCCAGAGCCTCCGTCCATACTTACAGGAATGCTACGTCCAGTACGAACAGGAGAAATTCCAGAAAATCTTAGATAAGCTTCCTAGTAAGTCAGTGGGGAAGAGGAGAGAAGCACTATTACTTCTGCAGCAGCTATTAAAGCACTAAGAAGGAACTTGAGTATTCTAAAGCTGATGCTTTCATCACTTGCTCAATAACTTGAGAGAAATACCTCTAAAAGCAGAAGGACTCTGGGGTCCCTTTCTCAGCCTCTTCACTACTATGCTTTGCAGAAAAGAAGTTACTTAGTGTGCTTCAGTTTCTGCATGCATTAGGCCTAATAGCTACCTCATGAGGAACTGTAAGAGCTCTGAATTTTAAAGTGTTTTGAGGTCCACAGAGGAATCATCAAAACATTTGCACGTGTATCTGAAGAGGAAAGCCAGTATTTGATGTAGACCCCTCTTCTTTGTTAGGCCATAGAATATTTCTCTCTGGCTGCCTCACTCCCTTGTAAGATTTAATTAAAGGTGCTTTTTGAAGACTGAAATCCTCTATGCAATATAAAGCTCTCCAGGTCCCAGTCTCAGGAGCCTAGCCTTGTGCCTTGCGCCTAAATACTGCATGGCAGAGGTGGGGTAAGTCCTCCCCACCATCCAAGATGCACATCCCCTTCAGCATGGAACATCACGTAGCCAGTTTTACTGACTTAGTTTTACTGACTTACTGAGCCACCTGCTCTTGCAAACACCCTTTTTTGTTTCTTTGTGTTTTAAAACACATTGCAGATAGTCTGGATAACACAACAGAGTGGCTGCGCAGAGCAGCAGTGTCTGCATCCTCTTTGCAGTCTCAGTCCTGCCCTGCAGCCAGCAGCTCTTCTGATGCACGCTTCCAGGGAGCAGTCAGCAGTAGCACAGCTGTGCCCAGTGTCATGTCTGTGCTAAATTGAGGCTACATGGATCTGCTCTGCTGGGAGCCCGGACACAGTGAATACCCAGAGGTAGGACAAGCACTGGGATATTTCTAGGAAAAGATGCAAAGATACACAAAACAAATAAGTGTACAGGTTCTGCTTCTACAGAAAGATCTGTCCACAGTCTCAGTCCCTTCTATGCCATTGGACAGGGTTTGTTCCCCAGGTGAAACAAGTTGGATTTATCACAAAACTAAATATTGCTGCCAATCAGCCTCCTTCCACTCAGCTTCATGGAGCTTACAGCTCTGCTGCATGGCTTGAGAATTGCTCTGTTATCACAGATGTTGTCTGTGTGCTCACAGGCTGGTGTGCTTTCTGTTCACAGACCTTGCTTCTGGATCAGGCTCGACTACAGGAAGTACAAACACAAGTGAATCAGCTTGCCATCATAGCTGCAGTCCTGCTAGTGACTAGTGGCGTGTGTGGAAACACCTTATTTGGCTCACCTGGGTTTATTGATAGGCTGAAACTGGTAACAAAGGCCCTCTTGGAAGGGCTGTCTTCTATCAGGTGGGTTATTTTATATTTTATTTTCCAGAAGGAGAAGAGTGAGGATGCAGGCACTGGTTGACTGTAGGATGAGCAACAGGAATCTCTTCTTGCAGCAGAAGAGGACCTGAGATCCAAAAGCAGCCAGGCCCACTGCAAGGAGTGAGGGAAGCCAGAACGCCAGGCAGCATACTTAGCTGGGAGCTAACTCTCTAGAGCTATTGTCCCTTCATGGTTAATGGGGAAAATCAGCAGTGCAGGGCTTTCTCATGTTTGCCAAAGAGCAGGGAAAGAAAGGAAGCTTAATTCACTTGTGTTAGGCACCACAGCTGTGGCTCAGCACTGGTTCTTATGTGCTTCCTGTCTGTGCTGAGGACAAAAGGGCTCATGGAGAGAATTCCTGGCTTGCAAGACCTCTTTCCCAACAAATATGCTCAAGTGCATGGGCTTTTGCATCATTTAGGTATGAAGAAGCTTTGCAAGACATCAGTGATCAAGTGCTCCAGGAAGTCAGCAGAACACTCTCACAGCTGGGTTACCCTGCTTTTGCCAGTGAGAAATGTACATCCCTGAAAGGCCAGATAAAAAGCATTGCTGACAAGGGCAACGCAGTCCAGCACACCATCAGTGAGCTCCTGAGCTCATGTCTGACTCAGCACTAAGTAAACAGTAAAGAGGTCTTCTACTCTTAGCCTTTGACCCTCGAATGTGCAGGACAAGTGTAAGATAGGTGACAGCAAGGCAAATTCCCTACACTGTGCAGAACTACTGCAGAAGCAAGGAAGCCAGAAACTGCCCTGATTTTCCCATTCCACTCTGGCTGCCTTACAGTAATTGCTTTGAAAATCTCTTAAATCCTACCATCCTCACTAAAAGCTAAACAGGCCCGAGTGCCAGGTCCGTCACTAGGTGATGTGGCAATCTTCAGGCTAGGATGTAGAGAGAGAGCTTAATCACTGACTCAAGTAAAGCACCACGCTAAGATCTTTAAGTAATATCTATCCCTAGGGAGTGCACTGCATGGTATTCAGCTAACTAGCTTCCCCTATAATGCTGCCCCATCAAAATATTTACTCAAATGATTTTGATGAGAGCTGATTATTTTGACCTTTTATTAGTACTCTGAAAGCTCCACATCAGATTGCAGTGCCACGGGCAGATAGTTCGCTACAGGAAAGATTATTTTCACATGCAAGACTTATCTTTTCTCAGCTATGAAAATAAGGTGAAGCTCTTCCTGCCCAGTGCATCGCCTTTCCTCCTCAGCCCACCCGAGTCCACATTACCTGGTTTATTCCTTGCATGTCAGACCCAGCAGGCTATTTTGTTTTGAAGGAATTCAGGAAACTGAATTAACAGCCTAAGCCAACCTCGCTGTACCACAGGCTGGGCAGTATGTGATGGCAATGGCTCACTGATGGAGCAGCATTAGAAGCTACAGAGCCAGTCTTCCCCTTGCTGTGTCTAAAAATCAACGTCGTCTGCACTCTTTGTCCACTATCAGCACTTCCCAAATACATATTTGAAACACAAGAACATCTGAGATAGCTGGGGAGTTAACCTCAGCTCCGTGCTCCTCAGAGAGGCTTCCTGAATTCTTTCAATTTTAAAACGCTGCTGTGGCAGTCCAGATAAATCCCAGGCTCTGAAGTTCTATATTCCATTATGCTCCTAAGATGCCTAACACTTCAGTTCTGTTCAAAAACTCACAGAGTGGGCAAAAAAAAAAAAAAAAAAATTATACTGTTGAGCTGCTCCACTTCAGCACAGCCAAATTCATCAAACCTAATGTCTGGCAGCCCAGCATCCCAGCTACAGCCACTGTTAAAAGCAGCTGCCCAGGACAAAGTGAAAACAAGGCACGTATGTACATCATACGCACAAACATGATGCTTGGAGAGTAGTTTCACCCATTCCTATGCTGAATGCTGTCTCATGTTAGTACTTGGAAGAACACCACCTTAATTCACTATGCCCCGAGCCCATCTGGAGCAGTACAGCTCCACGGCACCCTGCCCTCAGCTCTGCTCCTGACTGCACAAGGAACCCTTTGTCTCGAGACCAATGTTCTGCACAAAGGCTGATTTCTGATTTCCTACTCGCTCCTTACAGAGCAGTGGATTCACCTGTTCCTCAGCCTTTTTATTGCCCCCGATGGACAAAATTCTCAGAAAGATTTCCCAAAGGGTCTCAATGCCGTTCAGGAAGAGCTGCAGGAAGTCGGGCGCAGGTTCAGAAGTGTGACCTTCCACAACTGGCAGCTGTTTGGCCCTTTCTACTCAGCAGTTCTCAAGAAAGTGCTTTTCCCAGAGGCAGAACCAGATTCAGGAAGAGGTTCTATGTGATCATCCTTACTACGTACCACACAGGAGGACAAGGGTGGAACGCATTCTCCCACAATTTCTCAAATCATGCTTCGGCTTGTAAAAAAAACATCAGACAAACCCATCTGGGCAGCACAGCTACTGGGAAGTGACTCTCAGCATGTCAATATCTGAATAAACCTCTCAACTGCAAAAGGCAACGGCTTTCTTGTTCCCCTCAAAACTGTCACTATTTGGCAGGGAAAGAAATGGGAGGTGGAGATGATAAAACTGCAATGAAATTTAAGGTTCTTTCTTTCTTTTCTCCCTAATTCAAGGTGTTAATTCTGCGGTGGGTCTGCAGCCTGCTCTGCTGAAATGTTAGGCACAGCCCAGGGACGCAGTTTGGATTTGATAAAGCCATATGGTATTTAAGATCATTAAAACTGCTCAATATATTTCAGTGTTAGCTTGAAAACCTGACTTACTGAATTATTAGATGGAACATATGGTATAAATTTAGCAGCCCCCGATGTATTTAGTATTTCACATCAGCCAGATTTTATTTGACACAAAACCCTGAACTTTAACCTGTATTTAAATGCCTGGATTTCTTGCTCTAATTTTATATAGTGAAAACGTCCTACTTCTTGGTATGCCAAAAATCTTTGCTGGTAAATACTATATACAATGGCTGCCCAAACTGTTTCTGTTGTTCCATGAATCGATGGCTGCTGTGCTGCAGAGCATTGGTTTCAGTGTTTATCATTGCTAAATCAGGGTCCTGCCACCCTCAGTAGAACAGTCCTCGCAGATGTACGTTAAAAGGGGTCAAAATCAGCTTTCCCATGGGCAAAGTGACAGCAGACCATCACGCTGTAGGTGAGTCTATCTTTAAAGAACACACAGATGAGTTTTTACACATAAATTAGTCTGAAAAGGATTTTGTATTTGGGATCAGTGTGATTAGCTGCAAAAAGAGCAGCCTCAGCCAAAGCGACTGCTGAGCAGCCAGCATTCTGCATCCAGCATGCCACACACGTTAGGATGGCACACATCCTGATTCTGCTGCCAAGGAATGACATCAGGCCTGTTCCCAACAGAACAGCATCCTGTGCTTTGCTTCCACAATACCAGCAAATCATCCCCACGCAGTGCTTTGACACTCCTGATGTTTTCTTGTTCCTCAGCTTTACAAAGCAAAACACCACACGTGCAGCACCAGGCTGCCCTCATTCAAGTCACTGTGCTGCCCACCCTCACCCCTTCCTCTTACCTGCTTTGGCTGCTCAGCTCGGCATGAGATGACCAGAGGCTGCTGTGTCACTCAGGTCACAGTGACGACAGGGCAAACGTGTGTCTAAGTTTGTTTATTAATTCAGTCTGTTCTAAGTTGTACAATTATGAAAACAACAAAACGACTGCTGGAAGCCCAGGAATATTTACAATCTCGCCTTGTTGTAGTGAGGTCAGTCTATGTTGTTGCACAGATTGGTTATGTTTGGTACCACAAGATGTTTAAAATTCAGACAAATTCGAACAGATTAACAATTGTATATACAGGAAATAAAAGGAAATTCAAGTATCAAAATACAGACAGATTAAATAACATTTGTATTACAAATCAGTCCCACTGTCATACATCACAATTAGCAAAAATGTCTACATTGCAAACTGAACTCGACTGTTCTCTGCCCTGTTAGGGAATCTCAGGTTATTCTTCCATGGGTAAGAAAAGTGTTTGAGCTAGATCTACTTGGTAAGAGCAGCACACGTACTTCCTTTTGAAAAACAAAAAATTAAATTAAATTAAAATGCAGTAGGTAATGCCAATATGAGACCTAAAAGGGAGACTTTTTGCAACAAGACAGCGTCGCAAACTCTGTGCTCGCTCTAAAATAAAGATCTGATTGCATGGAAATGATGCAAGCAGAAGAAAGCCAGAGGAAGTTCTGCTGCTAGAAGCTTCTGACGTGGGGTGGAAGGAGCATTAAAGCAATTAAACCCACATCAGCTGCACACAGAGCAGTTGTTTGGAAGTACTATTTGGCATCTGGTCTGTGTCTCACAGCAGCCCTGTGATGGTACCTCACATTTCATTGGAGGCAAGTCCTGCACGGTGTCCTGCCTTCTCCCCAGGAGGGAAACAGGCAACAGGCACATACCCCACCAAAACTGCATCAGTTTTTTCTCCTAAAAAGAAAAATCCCAAAGCAAGTTCAAACAGCTACAATCAGCTTCTTCTTTTTTGTTCTCCTTTTTTTTTTTTTTTTTGTAAATACAAAATTAAAAAGGATAAAGCAGCTTCAATTTGGAAAATAAAAACTCATCCCCTCCTCTACTGAAGGAAAAAAAAAAAAAGACAAACACAGTTGATCTACCTTGAGTTCTCAGCCTGGACTCATGCTGTGTCCAACTGGAAGTCTGTAAAACACAAAACCCAGGGCTGCACCGCCTGTCCCAGGCAGGCAGTGAGTGCATTTAGATTCTAACCAGCACCAGAAATGCAGAGCACTTTCCTCCAGATACCGTGAAACCCTGTGGGGAGGAAAAGCCAAAACACTGCGTCATGGATGGGATAACAAAGCACTCGGAGTCGGTGACCCAGGATCAGTCTCCAGCATGCAAGTACCTCAAAAAAACCCCACTGAAATGAAAGGGGAAGATGCACTGCCAAAACAACTGCTTCTATGAAGTGAGAAAGAGTATCTGGCTAAAGAACTGCTGGATCACTAAAGACAACCATGGAATTACACACAGGACTGGAAAGAACCACCAGGGTCACAACGTCCAGCCCCCTGAAGATTGGAGTCTTCATCACCACTTCACCTCCAAGCCAACCTTCGCAAAGCTCATGTATGTGTCAGAACAGAAGGGTGTCCCTCCTCCCAAGCAGAGGTTCAATTTGCAATCTCTCCAAAAAGACTTGTTGCCAACACACCAAATATTTACACTTACACCAGTATGAATTGCAACATACTCATAACAAGGAATGTTAGGTTCTCTAAATTCATCCATGTAAAAAAGAAAAATAATCTCCGCTTCCCCCTCCTCATCATGTACAGCTCTGTGCCCTCGGGATTACGGTTCACTTCTCTCCTAGTCCTACCAGCTAGGGAGACTGAATCCTGACATACAGCAGCAACCGGAGTTAAACAGGCATCATTAGGGCATCTTGTCCTGGCAAAGCAGCAGGGCAGCACATCCCCAGCCACTGCAGCCCTGCGGAGATTGTACCAGGCTGCTGCGCTACGGTTTTTGCATTGGAAGAATTAAAAATCACAACTCTCCTAACAGCCTTCCCTCCAGGGGAACAGAGCTGTGAAAACACATCGGCCGCAGCCAAAACTGCTGGTAAATCCTGCTGTGATCCAAAGAGCAAGCAAGCAGACAGCACACCTCTGAGATGGCAGCGTTTGGGGCTGCTGGGGCCAGGCCATCCGTGGGTCGATAGGACTTATGATTTATCCTCGGCTATGGACTGTGCCAGTGGAATGCCCAAAATGTAACTCCTCTTTTGTTCGTCTTCCAAAATCGTTGCACTTATTAAATAATGAGCTAGTATAAAAAAAAAAAGTGCTAAATCACAATTGAATAAGCTTAAAAATTAAAAACAACACCCAACCCGTCAGGGCATAACTGCATTTAAAAAACAAGACAGGTGCACAAGAGGCTGGAGAAAGGACTCCTCTCCAGGTATTCAGTGCGTAAATGGGAAGAAGTTGTGTCCTTGCCATAGAAATGTCAAGTATTGCAATGCAACAGTTCTCCGTGGGGAAGCAAGCTTTGTACCATCAGTAAATGCTCGGCCACAGCCACTCCGAGGTGAGAGATCCTTCGCAGACTTTTCCTTAAGTGATTTCCATTGGTATAAAAGCATGGAGTGGCTTTGAAAACAAAGGATGCAGACTTACCCTGCAAGGCTTCTCACACTGGAGGAAGTTATTTCCAAGAATTTGGCGTTTCTCTACTGTTCACCCAGAATTGAAGCAGATTTAAGTACCATAAGAGATGCACACACCATCCCACCGGTAAGACTTTCTATTGTACTCCTTGCTGGACTGTGCAGATTCTCAGTAAATCATTTCTTTTTTTTCCCCTCACCAAAAAAAAAAAAACCAACCACACACAAAAAAAACAAAAACCACTGCAGTGCTACATTGAGACTGTGAACTGGATTTGCTCTGTATCATTTCATGTGTGAAAGAAACGGGTTGAAAGCAGTTTGTCTCAGACTAGAAAACGTGACATCGCTCGGCCTCGGAAGTCTCAACTTTCCTTTGCTAGAAATGGAGAGCTGCTTTTCTCAGCTGGTGGCTGGGATCCCTTTCCCCCTCTGCTTTGGGAGCCCTCACTGAGCAGCCATGCACACCCTCACAGGCAGACACCAGTGCCAGATGGAGACGGTCTTCGTGTCGGCAGGCCACTGCTTCTTAGGTCTCTGCCCCGTTACTACATTTCCGTGGTAGGAGACAGCTGCCCGGAGCTCAGCTTTTCAGAGGCAAACAGAAAGGAAGATAATGGAATGAATGATTTCCGAGTCATACAAACACAAGTGCTGGGAAAGACGAGGCGTGCAGCCAGGAGATGAGACAACCGTGAGGTTATGGACGCAGAGGAAGCTTTGCAGTTAGGCAGGGCTGCCTGCCACCCCGGCCGGGGTAGGGTCACCCTCAGGAAGGCACACGCACCAGTGAGCCGGCGTCAGGAGGAACCGACAGATCCCAGCTGAAAGCAGGGGGAGTGCAGAGCTCAGACCCTCGAGGAGCAGGCACACGTGTGGGCAGCTGCACGGTAAATCCAAACTACCACTGCTATCATGAACTCAGCTTCTCTCCAAGGGATATAAATGCCTCAGGGCACTCTTACAGATTGGAAAGGCACTGAGCATCCAACCCAAACCCCGGAGCTCCGCAGACACTGCAGCGTTCTGGGCAGGGCAGTGTGACCACTGGCTCTGTGTTAAGGGCTTCCTGACACGTGAATTGCACGTACACAGCTGGGCTTTGCTTCCCTTGCTTTAAGGCAATCCCTCGAGTCCTCTCATTTGGATTCCTACCAGCCTGGCCCTTGTTTTGAAGTCAGTTTGCCACTCAATGCCATTAAGCCACGAAGGATTTGAAAGATCAAACTCGTTCCTGAGGAAGAGCTCAATAAAGATGTTGAAACATCTGATTTCACCACAGGGCTGGGGAACAGAAGCCCAAAGGCCTCAGTGAAACTTAGAAATGAGAACAAACATGCCCACATAACAGGTGTCAGCAACTCAGGGTTGCTGGTCTGACCGTTTATTTCTGATGGTGATCACAAAGAGAGATTTGGGGTGAAATCTGAAAAACTATTTTGCAAGCAGAGCATCACAAGAGCCCTGAGTGCACCATGTCCACACACACACACCATGCCCACGCAGATGTGCCACACAGCTGAGTGAGAAGTGCCATCCCCTTATCTTCTAACACACTCACTGTCACCCCCAGCTCACCAAACCTGGGCTGTGGGGGATGCGGCAGAGATGCAAAGCCCGCACTGAGGCACATCAGTGAGCTACAGCTCACCTTCAGCTGCCCCATCTGCTCAGCCCCTCCCTGGGAAAGGTTTGGCAGCCACTGCCCACAAGGAGCTGGGATGTGAGCATTGCTCTGGGACTGAGAGCTCTACACTCTGCTGGAGAGCAAAGCAGAGCACAGTGGATTTGCTGCCACTGTGTGGAAGTTGCAATGCTTTTCACTAAAGGGCCCTCAAGCAGCTGTGGGGACAGAGAGCGCCTCACCCCCTGAGAGGTAGCTATGTGTGTCCCCATCCTGAAAATAAGGAAACTGAGGCAAAGAGAGGCTCAGTAGTTGGGACACAGCAAGTTGGGGAGAAGCAGTACTGGGCTGGAGCCCTGCCTTCCAGTGCTGGCAGCTACTGAACCATCCCCATCCTCCTCCTCCTCTGCTTAAATGCTCCTTTGCAAATGCAAGAGAAGGAAATAGGGACAGACCCAGGGACAGCCTGTGTGGGCAGCTATGTGGGCTGCCCAGCTCCACTCTGACTGTGCTGAATGCCCTGCATCCCATGCAAACAATTTCCAGCCCATATCCTGGAGCCAAAAGCAGCTTCTACCAAGACACACAGAAATGGGGACGTTCTCCCAGAGAAAAACATGTGCACTTGGGAAAGAGCCAGGAAGGCCAAGGTGCCCGCTGACACATGGCCATTTCTAACCAAAATCCTTGCTCTCACGGATGAAAGACAACAGATGTTTCAAGATCCCTATAGCTCTCATCGTGCAATGTTTTATAGACTGAAAAATAGGCTTTGGGTCAGCAGCAGACTGATTTCAATCACAATCCTCCCTTTGGCAAAGATGTGAAACCGCAGGAAATGCACTGAGCACAGCACAGCTCTGCCTGCTGCACCCCCTGACAGCACGGCTCAACCACGGCTCCTTCCCAGCACAGGGCCAGCAGCATGAGCCTTTCAGTGCCTGACCTCTTCGTAATCTGCAAAGTGAGAACCACACCCAGAGCTCACAGTGGTCTGGTGAGCAAGAACACAAGGACTGTGGGGGTAAGCCCTAAAAGGGACGGAAATGCACGCAGCCACACAGCTCCTGCAGGACACTCACGGCCCCAAGAAGGGCCCGAGCTCACAGTGGGAACAGTGGCACCCAGCCCAAGGCTGTGCCCCCAGCAGAGCAGCTGTTCTGCTCCATGCTTCGAGGAGAGAGGCTGTGAGCAGGGTCCCTGTGAGGAAATCTAGTGAAGGTGTTATTTGCAGACAGCATCACAGTGGTTAGTGTCGATTCAAGTGACAGTAAGGAGAGGGGTGACTTCACTGGAACAGTGTGCAGCCGTGGTTCAGTTGGGAAGTAGAGGAGAGAGAAGGAGAGAGTGTGTGCACCGCAGAGACAAGAGGTCTCCATCAGTCCGAGGATAAGAAGGTGAAATAGAAAAAAAGGCCTGGGGGAGTGCCATGTCACCCCAGGGAGTCACAGTGCCAGAGCGAGGGGAAAGACGTGAAAATGGTGGGCAGCTTCCTGGCTCCGCATCTCGGATGCCCCCAGCCTGCACCCCTCTGCACCTCCCACCTGATGGGGATCTAACAGCGTGTTACCCTTGTTTCCGAGTAAGGAGAATTCACAGTGTTCAGTAGTGATCAGGTACAAAAGCCGTTTAAGTCTACAGTCTCTTAAGTGCTGCTGCCTTTGACGTAGTGCCTACGCGGGGCTCAGTGCGAGCAGCTGGAGGAAGAGGGAGTTTAGAACAGCAGACAGATCAGATCGCAAAGGCACGGTTAGACTATAGGTGGACACAGGGTTGGTTTGCTTTAGAAGATAGTGGTCTCATACTTAGTGCTGAGGGTCCGCTTGGAGTCCTGTTTGGGGTCCACGACCCACGAGACACTGGCATGAGACTGGGAATCTTGGTCCATTTCAGGGGGCTCCAGCTGGAAACAAAGGAGAGAAGAGTGCATTAGCTTACATGTGCCTATGGGAGCCCGAGTCTGGGGCAGAGCAAATGGGAACTCGGAGCACAGAGAGGCTGCTGATGCCCATCCCCAAACCATGTATGCGTGCAGGGCTGCAGCTCTCACTGCCAAGGCATTTGAGTCCTTCAAAGCTCAAACATTTCTAAGCACGTCGCTCTCAGCCCAGCACCCTGGGATGACTTCCTGAGCTAGGCCTGCAAGCCCCCATTACCATCAGCGACAGCTTCACCTCATTTCACAGACAAGCATGAAAAATTCAGCACTACTGAGATGGCACTACAAAAATAAGAGGAGAGGAGACGGCTCCTGGTAGGTGAGCTCTCTCTGACCAAGCAATGCTTTTTCATCCTGTCCTCCTCAATCAGGATCCCAGGGGAAGGTTAACGACACCAGGAAGAGCAGCACAGTTAGCTGGGAGCTGACGCTCTGTGTTAGCAGCAGCTGGGACCAGTGCATCCCTGGGGTTCATTTGAGCCCTGGGATGAGGTGGGGGAGGGCAGCAGCGAGGACACGAGGCCATGGTGGGAGGTGTGGGGAGCGGTGGCAGCCGGGGCAGCAGCCCAGGTCGGTTGGTGATGGAAGATGGCAGGAAGAAGGTAAAGACCTTAGCTCCAGGACTAACAGACTGCAGCGGCAGGTAGGAGGGGCGGTGAGTTGTACAGGTGTGACAGTAACAACAGCGGGTGTCAGGAGGGAGCGGCACCTGAGCGGGGGGAGCAAGCAGAACACAGACAAAAGGAGACATTAAAGGAAAGCAATGGCTTATGCAGCAGTCCCTGCTCCTCAGCAGCTCCAAGTTAGGCTCGGTTTAGTTGGCACTACCAAGCGGGCAAACTGCAGGTTACCCACTGATCTTTCCACGTGGAAACGGAGCTGGATCCAGCAGGGCATCCAACCCCCCAACCCAGGCTACATCCCCTCTGCCTGTCCTACCCCACAGGGAAAGCCAGGCATGCAGCAAGCCTGCCAGCAAGCAGAGCCACGGGCACTGCAGCACCAGCAGTGCCTGATGCTACAGGCCACGGGGACTTCTGCACCACGAAGGGGGAGCTTTAAGCAAGTTGTGCCCGAGAGGAAGCCCAGCTCCAGCCCCCAGCTCCATGTACGTACTGCGGATTTCCTCACGCCAGCTCGTGGTTTAGGCACCGGTTTGGAAGATTTTGTTTCGATCGTTTCTCCCGCTGCAGCACCCAGAGGTTTCGCTCTCTGGGCTTGGAGGGCCAGCTGGTAAGCGACCTCGAACGCCTGCCCCAGGGTGAGGATGATCTCGTAAGTCAGGTTCTTCAGAGAGAATGCAGGGAACACAGAGCTGTTAGTGCACGGGAGCTGCCTTGCATCGCACAGAGCCCCCACGTGCAGCAGCCAGGACCACCTATGGGCTGCTCCAACCCGTCTGGCATTGTAAAGAGAAAGAGCCCAAATGTTTTGCAAAGCTGATTCTGTCTAGGAATAAAAGCAAGCAACGCCGTCACACTCTCAGTGAATTAAAAGGCTGTTAGATCAGCCTATTACACTGCTCATAATTGAAAGCGTATCAGGGTTTTGTTCACGGAATATTCCCCAAGAGGGAAAATCTCCTGCCCTGGTTTATTCAGCACTGGAAATGGCAGTAATGAAGCCAGACAAATATTCTCTTTGACAACAGAGTTGCAAAGTAAATGCATTTTGTGGCCGGACTCCTAAAAGAATCTTCTAGGACAGAAACAGCAAAGAGACACCTCTCACGCAGCCCCAACACCCTCAGCTGCAGCCCCATCCCACTCACCACATCCACGGTGCTGAAGACGTGGCAGTAGTGGTGGCTGGTCTGCAGGTCCTTGGTGATGTAGGCAAACGTGCAGAGATCCTCAGGGTCCTGGGCAGCACAGGAGATGTTACGGATCTCATGCTCAGCAATGACATTCTGTAGGAGACAACCACAAATACTCATCACCCTTCTGGGGACAACAACACGCTCAGCAAACAACAGCGCTTCCAAATGTCTACTGGGGACAGGGAGCACAACAGAGACTGGCAGAAGGGGTTTCTCCCAACCAGGCCAGTCTCAGCTCTGTCCCATGGTAGGAACAAACGGCAACACAAGCAGCCCACGTGCCAAGCCTACATCATTCAGACAGCCATCGTCACCCTGGTGCTCTCCCCACGGCTCCCAGCAGCTACACAGCACCCAGCCATGGCTTCTGGAGCTGCCAGGTATGACCTGCAGCCCCTCAAGCAGGTGGCACTGCAGGCCACGTCCCTCCAGACACCGGTTTTGAGGCACTTCAAGCTCACCTTGTTAGAGGCATCGATGAACTTCACTCCCTTGTATGTGATGGACAGTATTATGGTCGGGATTTTCTTCATATGCTCTGTGGATTTCTTTAGAAACAAGAACACTCAGCTGTGAATCAGTGCTCCTTTCCTCACCATCCCCAGCCCTGCTAGTGGCTAGGAAAGACCCTCAGCCCTATAACATCAGGCTTTTGGGGGCTTGGACAAGGAGAAAGAAAACCTGCTTCTAATGGAAGCAGACAGAAAGGGACGGGAACCTGAAGTTAAACCTTTTATCCCAGAGAAATCATCTGTTTTCTCACTGCACAGACATTCAAACTATAGGGAAAAGTGCTGGTGGGAGATCAGCTCGGCAGTGATAGTGGCTCCCCGCGCTGCCCTGTCTGCAGGGTGTGGGGAACTGCAGCTACACAAGCATCCCCCGTCCTGCCCCATGTCACCCACCACAGCTGTGACTGTCCCCTGGGCTCCATACCCTCATCTTGGCACAGGCATCCTGCGTTGATTCTGTACCTCGGAGGTCCTTGATCAGCATGGAGCCCAGGTACTGTTTGGAAAAGGGGATGTGTTAGCACTGACAACCTGAAGGCTTCATTCAGGCTGGAAACCTTCCAACCCCAAAGCAGCACCACAACCCAAGAGCTGTGGCTGCAGAGAGACAAGTCACCCACGGAGCGGGGAGGACTGTGACACCTCCACGTGCAACACCCAGAGCCTCCTCCCCCTCTCCAGCTGCAGAAGCCAAAAGCCACTTACGTTGGCCTCGTACCCGCAGGACTCAAAGATGAGCTTCTCTGGCTGGTGCTGCCAGTTTTGGACCGGTGCGTAGGGGGCAGCCAGGCTGGGGGGGGCGCAGGGTCAGCTTTGACTCCCGACGGTCCTCCTGGAAGAGGAAGGAACGCAGGTGTGAAGCTACAGCGGGTCCATGCCAGGGTGCAGCACAGATCTTAGCAGGGCTTTGTGGGTTGATGCAATTGAGATTTGCAGTGGGCAGACCTCAAAGGGCTGGGAGGGGTGAAAGTGACACTGCAGTGCATGTGCAAGTCACTGTTTTTAAGGCGAGCTAGGCACAAGCAACCTGCTGGCATCATCTCCTAGTTTTTGAAGCCTCAACTCCTCAATTAGGTGATGCACTGAGCCATGCAGAGGGGCCCACAGGATGCACAGCACCACTGACCTGTGCTTTGTAGCGCTCAACTTTGGAGTACGTCGCCAGCTCACTGCCACGCTCGTGTTGCCTCTTCCCAGAGTCCCCAGAGGGCAGCAGGAGATCAGCAGATCTGCCCGTGCAGGAGTCGTTCTGGCTCAGAGGTGACGACGTCTGGGACATCAAGTCCTGGCACTGGAACAGGCAGACACCAACAACCATCCTGGTTAGCCGGTGCCACAGCCCTGTGTGCACTGCGCCCCTCTGGCTCTGCCAGCCCTGCTCAGAGGCTGCTGCCACCCTCCAGCACCGCACACAGGATGCAGAGCTGATGAGGCAGTTGCTCAAGGTGTGAGGAAGGGAAGAAGTGGCCACACACAAACCTGTGCCTGTGTTTCTGGCTGGGATTATTTCTCCCTAGGAACACCCGGAGCTGGCACTGCAGGCTGCTCCTCCCAACACCCAACAAAGGTGCAATAAGCTGAGCTATCAGGGTCAGCTCCCGCCCTGCAGCCTTCAGGCTCACTGCCTTCATTCACCTCATTTATTTCCCACTCAATGCCCCTGCTTTGCTCCAGGACCGTTTTGGGCAGGTGTCTGCCTTGTCCTGCCCTGTCTGAGGAGGGCAGCAGGCACGCAGCACAAAGGGCTCCGGAGCACCGAGCTGCCCCTTCTGGAGCTGAGCACCCGGCTGCCCAGCGTCAGCTCAGCCCAGATGCCTGACAGCCGGGCTCCTCCCGCAGGCAACGCTCACTGCCTGGATGTGCCAAGCAGGCAACACACGGAGCTCACAGCTGCAGCACGCATCAGCCCTATTCAGCGGACTTGCTTAATTTGCCATTGACGTCCTTCCGCTCCCCAGCCAGAGCCGGGCGCTGGAACGCACCAGCTGCAGCACCAGGAAGCTTTGGAAATGGCCCATTCTCTTTTCCAGCCCGCCCCCCCAGCCAGCATATCAATCAGCTGAGGCTACACAAAGAGCTCCTCTCCTCGCCATCGCTCTGCCTTCAGCCCCGTCATCTCAAGAGGATGTTTGGGAGGAGCTGCCTCCCTCCCACCTGCGCACTTGTGGTCGGAGCACTGGGGTGAAGCTGCAGGGTTGTCCCCTCCTGGCCCCCAGGCTCTGTGTGCAGCAGCACAAATCCTCACTTTTTGCTCCCAGGTGGCAGCTTTGTAGGAAGAATGGCAATTCTGAGCGCTCCCCTCTCAGCCACCCCCAGCACCGAGTGTCTGGCATCCTATGGCTCCCCTGCCCCAAAATTCATCCGCTGCTTTGGCTGGAGTACATCAGTCCTGGCAAAGGGGAATATTTGCTGCTGTGTGGTTCAGCCAGAGCTCAGCAATACTGTAATTTGTTGCATCTCTGCCCAAGTGCTCTGGAGTCGCAGCTGTGTGGATATGAGGGGACTTTTCCTGCAACTGTGATTTTTTTCTGATGTGGGCACTCATGATGTAAAGCAGCAGAGATGAGGAAGAAGCACACATGAGGTCAGTGCTGGCCAAGCCAGAGCCAGGCAGGCTGCAGATTGCCCGAGTTCTGCTTCACTGTATTCAGAGTGGAAGCCCTGAGCTCTGCACCACCGCCAGCAGCAGCCAAGGTGGGACCTGCAGAACCATTCCTCCTCCACACATCAGATGTGCGATCGCCTCAACTCTTCCAGCACTCTCTTCCCAGGCCACCAAGTACCTGAGAGCCAGCACTGACCCCAACTACCAGGTCAGCCATTTGTTCTAATAAGAAACAAGCTTTTTTTCCTCTCTTTTTTTTTTAAAAAAAAGAAGCAATACTATTTCCAAAGATCATTCTCTGCACTCATTACTCCCAACACCTACTTTCAAAGGACTTTTAACTTAAATATTGACATGGTAGGGTTTTTATCTTTCTTCCTGATTTTGCTAGGCAGAATTTCCTGGGCACAAAAGAAGCAGAGTAATGCTGACTGTGCCCCACTCCCTGCTGGACACCCGCCCTAAAGCCATCAGTACACGCACTCTGCAGGGCTCTGCGTCCCCCAGGGCTGTCAGCTACCAACCAGAAGGAGATGAGTGTACCAGACAGACCTGGAATTCATTCTTTGAATGAAAAGGGGGGATGTGGAGTCAACAGAGGCAGAACACAGCTACCACTGAATGCTCTGAACAGACACTGTGGGCAGCAGGGACACTGCATGGACTCACTCTCAGCTGTGAGAAGCGTGGTGGCTTTGCTGGGGGTTCCTCATAGGGCCGGTCAGCCAGCGAGGCGATGATCCTCTTCCGATGGCCCAACAGGTTCACCTTCAGCACCTGTGGGGGAGACAACGCTGAGAAAGAGAACTTGTGCCAGCGCAGGGGAGCTGCACAGTGGTTTGTAGAAGGCAGGACCTGCAGTTTGTGGGGCATCATGGGGTCATTAAGGCTGGAAAAGACCCCTTAGTTCACCAAGTCCAACCCCAACCTGTCCCTACTAACCAAAATCTCCACATTTCCTGAATCCCTCCAGGGATGGTGACCCACCATTCCCTGCAGTCTGTGTTGGTGCAGCACGGCTCTTTCAGGGAATAAAGGTTTCCTCATACCTAGCCTGCTCCTCCCCAGGTAATGGCCCCATGTGAGGCCATCACCTCCTGTCCCATTGCAGAGGTCAACCCCCACCTCACCACAAGCTCCCTTCAGGACATGAAGTCACCCCTGAGCTCCTCTTCTCCAGGCTCAGCCATCCCAGCTCCCTCAGCTGCTCCCCATAAGACCCCTCTGTGCTCCAGGCCCCTCAGCTCTGTTGCCCATCTCTGGACATGAGGGGCCAAGAGGGGCAGCTTCTCTGCCCTCTGCACAAGGCAAAGCATCCTCATTCCAGCAGTCTGTTTGCATTTAGCACTGCTCCCTGCAGGGAATGCAGGCAGGACCCCGGCACTGTGGGGACAGGCAAACAACACTCACGTTGACTATTTCAAGCTCCCAGAGGTTTTTCACAGTGTCAATAGAGCTGTAGCCGCTCGAGAGGAAGGACTGGATGTAATCCTGCAGCCCCAAGGAGTCAAGCCAGGCAGGGACGGACGGCTGGCTGTTCCCATCACAGCCCAGGGGCTTCAGCTACAAAAGCAGAAAGCAGAGAGGGGTTAAAGCCACAGGGGGCAGGGATCCCAAAGCATACAGCGTCTGCAATTAGCACCGTGCTCAGCCTTTTTTTCCTCTGTCTCACAGCCATCCTGGGCAGTGCCCTGGCCCTGCTCACCTTTGGCAGGGAGCGAGCTGCCTGCAGGAGCTTCCGGCGGTGCTGCGGGTCTCCGATCCCAATGTCCCGAAGGTCCTGGTCCTCCATGACATTACAGCCCTGCGGGGACAGGAAGGTGCGTAAGGGGGCAGAGCCCACACACAGGGCAGCAGCTGCCCCTCAGATCCCCTGCAGCCCCAGGGCTGCCTGGGAGGAGGAGGCCATGGACAGAGCTCAGCCCCACAGACCAACACGGGGCACAATGGAGCCGTGCTACCAATGCGCAGCACGGCAGAGCGTGGCTGTATCCCAGCACAGCACGCTGCAGGCATCCTCATCCAGCCAGGGGGGTCCCAGGCCATCATTAAAGCAGCCTCCCCACCACCAAAGCTTTGAATGCTGCCAACAGTGCCATTCCTCAACGGCCAGAGTAACACCCAGCCCTGCCCATACACTGAGCCTAGCAGGGGCACTGGACTCCGCTTATCCTCCCTCCTGGGCCGCTGAGAAAACGCGATTTCTTTCCAGGTGAGCATGTGAAAGTCACATTTCTCCTCCTTTCCCCGCTTCTGGCAACAGCCCACCCCAGAAGCACCGCACGCTGCTGCAGCCCACCTCACCCCCCCTCCCACCGCCATACCTGGGCTGGGCTCAGCTCCCCACAGCTCTCAGCACTGCAGCCAACGAGCTCAGCACCGCACTGGGACCCAGCCGGGCCCTCCCAGTACTGCCTCCCTCTGCTCCCAGGAGAGGAGCAGGAGAAGGGCTGAGCTGGCAGCGCTCTGCTGCTCCACATTTTGGTTTTATAAGAGGAACCTCATTAAAATCAGCTGTTGGGCGCTACGCTGCTGCAAGGGCACGCGGGGCAGCCAGGGCTCCAGAAAGGGACTGAGCAGGACATGCACCTCTTCAAAGGGCAGCAAGCGTTTGGAATTCCTCGCCACGCTGCACTGTCTGTAGCTGCTCAGCACGTCCACCTCGCTCAGTCCCACCTGCTTTAAGTGCAGCATCACAGCTCTGCCCCCAAAGAACCGCTGCTCCGCTGAGATAAGTGCCAGGAGAACCATAGAATTAACGCTGCGCTAAGAGCTGCCCGAAGCAATGGTGCTGCCCTCAGAGGCCAGACTGCAGAGAAACAATTATTTAGCAAATGACAGTAGCAAATTAAACCAGCGGGTGGCCGGGGAGCAGCAGAGTGCTGCATACACACAGCAGCCACCGGCCCCATGGGGTCAGTGGGCACGGCGCGGCCTCCGTTCGCCCTTGCTGTGCCAGCGTGCCCCATGCCCTCTCCAGGCTGCCCCTTTCCAGTGCCCGGGGTGAGATTCAGGCCCTTCTCCCACCTTTGGCATCTCAAATCTGAGCAAAACTGCTTGCCATGCAGCAAGGCTCCAAGCTAGTTAAACACTCAGAATCACGGCTTCCTCTAGTGCTCCTTATTTTTATGTGTCACATTAAATTCCCTCAGTGCCAGTCTGCATTCTCAGGGTACTTAACAAGGATAGACAAAGCATAGCAGCTCTGAATACATCATTACAGCCCATTGTGCACGAGCTCTGCTCGGAGGAGCGTCCTTTAAACCCATCTGGATTTCATCTCCAATGAAAAAAAATAATAATCTGCCACTAAAATAGATAATTAAATGCAAACACACTGGGGATCTTTTAACCTTTGCCAGCAGAGCAGCTGAGCTTTGTTCTCAGGCTGTGTGCATTTAACATGCTCTGCAGACAAAGCTGAGGTCCTCTGCGCAGTGCTCCCTGCCTCCCAGCCAGGGCTTGGGTCAGTGCCATGCTCCCAAGGCTCACCTGCAGCACCAGGAGCCCCCTGAGCTGTTGGGTTTCAGCCACGAATCTCAGAGGACTGCTGGGTTAAGAGGATTTTAGAAATGAGATCGTAAAACAAGGTGGTTTTTCTTGTGGGTTGGTTTTTACCAGCAGCCAAAAGTCCCCATGCCCAGGTTGGACATCACCTCCCCAGCACCATGGTCCTGCTGCTCAGAACCCAGGTCTGGGTCCTCCAAGGACAAACGCCTGCAGCAGAGGAGGAGGGGAGCTGTGAGGACCTCTGTGCTGCTAGCCGGATCCTCCCCCGCTCAGAAATGCCAATTGGAATCAAGAAAACTTTCTGAAGACAGAGTTGAGCCTGTATTCGTTGTGACAAGTGCTGTACCTTGTGCAGGCTGCAGGCTGAGCGCAGCACGGGGCCAGGGCTCACCCTGCACTCCTCCCCATTCAGACCTCTCTGTTACCCCCAGCTCCAACCTGGCAGAGATGGGATGGAACACGGCGCTGTGCCACCCTCAGTCTGGGTGCCAGGTTATCACAGAATGGTTGGGCTGGGAGGGACCTCAAAGATTACAGCACCATACAACGGTTGGGTTGGAAGGGACCTTAAGGATCATAGAGCCGTGGGATGGTTGGGTTGAAAAGGCTCTTACAGCCCCCAGAGCCCCACCCCAGCTATGGGCTGGGTACCCCCCCGATCAGGCTGCCCATCCAGCCTGGCCCCATCCATCAGTGCCCACCTGCTCGCCTGGTCCACCTACAGGAAGCAGCTTTTGGAGCAGGGTTCTGCTCCAGGACACGGCGCTTCGCATCCTGCGCTGTAATTAAGCAGCCTGCAAGACTCCAGGTTTCTCATTAAAGGAAAAAAGCACAGTCAGAGGGGTTACGCTGCGTGACGCAGTGTGGGTTAGGTGACCCTAAAGAGGAGCATGCCAAAATCAGAGCCTCTGAAATCTGCCAGCATCTCTGCTCCAGCAGGGCACTCTGCGGGCGCTTAACTACCCAATTTTCAGATGCTGCTTCTTACTCAGAGCCTGGCTTCGGTCCATTCTCTCTTTCCAGCTAAGGAAGGGCCCAAGGCAAAGAAAGTTCCGTATAGGACATGCAGTCCTCCCCAGCCAGCAGCACAGCATAATGAATCCCAACCGACTCATAGGAGAGCTGCCTTGTTACCAACCCACGTATTCCAGACACAACTGTGGGGAAGATTGGGACCAGAACGTGTTTGCTATTAAAAGCAACAGATGCAAAACCCAAACACAGCTTTTCCAGACTAGCAAACATCCATAGCAGAGTGCCTTCAGCTGGACGAGCCAAAGCATCCATTTTTCTTAGACTAATGCACACAAAGCTCTTTCTTTTTTTCCCCTTCTCAGTAAATTCAAGGCAGCTTGCTTGTATCTTGTCAAGGATTTTGCTGCCACTGCTTTTGTTTTACATGAGTCTGGATGTGGGAGACAGAGCTGGAGACACAGCCTGAACAGGGACAACACACAGTCCGTCCCAAGGCTCGACCCCACACTCTGAGCTCTCCTGTTAAATAAAAGGGCGGTGAGGGAGGGCAGCAAAACCGAGCTAAGTGAGGGCATCCGGGGAGCTGACAGAGGCGCTGCGGCTGGGAATGAGCTGCCCAGGAGCCCAGGGGTGAATGAAACCAAGTGCCCTCCTTCCCTGCGCTGTCTGCGAGGTGCAGGCTGGGCTCAGCCCCTTCAGAGCTCCGGGAGCCGTGCAGGGCTGCACTCGGAGCAAACACGTCCTGTTGGACAGGGCGAGAGCAGCTCATGCTGCGCTAACAGCAAACCCACCAGCCTGTCCTGCATTCCATCTGCACAAGCACATGGGTTGCACTGTGGGGCTTTTCACCCACGGCGTCAGCACAGCATCACAGCCAAGGGGCCCAGAACTGCCCAGCACCTCCAGCCCTGGGGTCAGCCAGCCCCGCTCCACAGCCCTACATCTCCCCCTGACCCCACATCCAGCCCCCTCACAGCCCCACCTCGGAGCCAAGGGGGAAACAGCAGTGTTTGGCCACAGGAATATATGCCTGCCAGCAGCCTGTGGGGTCTGCCCTGCCCTTACTGGTGGCTGCTGTTTGAGGGAGCATGGTGGAAACGAGGGGACGAGAAGCACTCAGTTGGCTGAGGGCAGATCAGTGAGGTCCCAGTGCTTCCCAAAGCAACAACTGCAGAAAGGGCTCCTATAAAAATCCTAGATTAGTGCACTGCATTTTTGTTCCATTTCTGCCCCATGCACACACTGGCAGTGCAGCAACGGAGGGAATCGGTCACAGTTGTCAAATCTGGGCAATTTCATGGAGAAGGGAAAAAAAATTAACCGCTCCTTTAACGGCTTTTTAAATGTTTATTGGGCCAGGAGCTGCTCATGAATCACATCTAAGCATTCTCTAAACTGCCAGCCCTGCTTCACCCGCTTTGCTCCCCAAAACCCATCTGGAACCAGCAGGGAGTTCAGCCACAGAGTGAATACATCCACACCTTCCAGAGGTAAAGTGGAAACCATCACAAAGACAAAGCAGGGCTCTCAGAGCTGCCCAGGGAGCATCTGAGACACACTGCAGAGCTGCCAGAGAATCCACTGCACTGAATGAAGCCATTCCCACTCGGACACGTGGCAGAAATCCCTGCACGAGGGTCCCGTTCTGCTCTGAGGGGCGTTCATTCAGTCTGAGAAGCAGCAATGCAATGTATTTCCAGCATGCTGGTGGCAGTGATAAGCAGGAGACAATGCCACGTAACGGGGCGTGGAGCTCCCCAAGCTGCAAAAACACCCCATTCTCCCAGTGCTGCCATAATTTGATTGCTTCCCCCCGATCATGTAAAGAAAGAAACACACACACAAAAGCAGAGGTGCCCAGAGCAGTGCATGAGAACAGATTTCTGCTCCTGATGCTGTCTGACTGAATCAGCATGAGCTGCTTTCCGCACCCTCTGTGGGAATCCAGGCTTGAACAACAACAAAAAGCCACGAGAAGTGGCTGACGTCCCTCTACCTGCTCCTGTGAACGAGAATGCCTTTGGACTGAGGAAGAAGTTCAGCTGCAGAGCCATCCCAGGGCTGAGCACCCGGCCTCCCAGGGGAGGGAAGGGCTTCTACCAGCATCTGGGCTTGATCTGCAGGATCCAATGGATCGCTGGCACTGCAGGGAACAGCGCTTCCCTCCCTGCTTCTGCAGTGCCCTCAGCACAGCAGTCCCAGCAGGGCACTGGGAAGCTCCATGCACCCCAGGCACAGCACTGCAGCTCCTGCTGCTCACAACACATGGCAGCCCTCTTAGCTCACACTCCACTGACATTTTCCCTACTCTTTCACCCCCCCCCCCCCCCCCAGTTCATTAGCAGTCAAGGACAATTAAATCGATTTATAGTGTGTTTTTCTGGATGACACTGCTTGCTCGCTGCTGCAGCTTTGTGATCTGACCTTCTGTTTGCTCCTCCAGCAGGCGATGAGGCTGCGGTCCCCTGGAAGCCCTGGGCTGAGCTCCTCCACACAGGGGGCAGGGCTCTCCCTGCATTTTGGTAAGGACAGCACGGCCACTGCTGGCAACACGCAGCCAGCAGCTTTCACTCAGTTATGTTTGCACCAATAAATCCTTCCCCTCTAAGGAAGCAAGCTTGCTTTTCAGCAAGCTGCAAAGCAGAGATGAAGCATCACCTCCATTTTCTGGCCTTAAATCCCCAGCTGGCCAAGCAGGCCGTTCCCCAAACTAAAGCAGAAGTTTGGTCTCACAACCAGGCCACCCTGAGCAGCAGTGCAGGCACTGAAGGTCACTCAGCAGCGATGGAGAGGAAGGAGAGGAAGGAGCTGCTGCACAGAAACACCACAACAAAGCCACTGCAGGGGAACAGAAGAGCTCCAGTCTGTAGACCATGCTGTTCAGAAAGAACTCGGGTCTTTTAGAAAAAGGAGCTCCTTCAGTGCAGCCTATTTCTTCCCTCAGTCGAGAAGCAAAACCACATTCTGTCTGCAACAAATGTCGCTTCTGTTCCTTCCCAGAAGCTCCAGCACCACATCAAACCGACACCCCTGTAATGCTGCTGCCTTGTGGCAGCGATATCCACTCCAACTGCAGTCAGTGCCCGTCAGGATTGTTTGCTCTGAGCCATTCCACGTTTGGCTGAATCCAATCGGGGAGATGCTCTCGTGTGTCCATAGCAAACACTGCAGCACTCAGTTTTGTTTTACAGCCTTAACTGGAGTTTTACATCACAGGAAGAGTGATTGGGAAGCTGCCTTAAGAGGGGAACACAGCACAGCATGGGGAGGGCAGCGCTGCAAACCCAGCCCGTCTGCAGCACCCAGGTGGCCAGGCAGGATGCATTCCTTGCATTGATGCATTAACAGCAGTGTGCCCTTCCTCCTTATCCTGGTGGTGTTGGTTTGCTCCTCCCTGCTCATCAGCTCACTTGCACTCACAGCCTCTGCAAGTTCCAAAAGTGGGAATATTCCTAATAAGAACAGGCTGACACTGCTCAGAATCAGTGGGTGTTGCAAGCAATACTTGTATTCGCCCCAAATTCCCACCCACAGAGAGACAGCAGAGAGCTGCATTGTGAGGAGTCAGTCCTGCTGTGGCCATTGCTGTCACCAAAGCAGCCCCAAACTGCAGCAGAACTCGAGGTTTGCTGCCAGGGGAAGCACTGACCTCGTACAGCAGCTCATGGATAAGGTCCCAAAAACAGAAGGCAAACTCCTGCATCCTCCACTGCTTGTCTCTTACCAGCTTTGTTCTCCAAGGCCCTAACAGGGACTGATCCTTTCACAGAAACCAAGCCCAGAAAAATAACACCACTTAGTTTGAAATAATCATTAGTGACCAAAAGCAGCAGTTCATAAAGAAACTGCTGTATTAAAAAGGAAGGGTGGACAAACCGACACAGTGGGTGCTGGCAGCTGCATCCTTCAGCGCTCACAGCACCGGGCAGCTTTAATAATTCATCAGAGAGCATCAAAACCAGCATTAAAAACAAGCAGATGATTTGTTCCCTGCTTGTATGCAAAGGTTTTACTCTTGCAACATCAGACGCCGAAGGGAAGGCACACTGCTGAGGGGATTTGGAAGAATTAAACTTCCATGCGTTGGCTTCGAGTCCCGAGGACTGAGATAAAGGGATGCAAGAGGCAGATCTGACATGGGTGCCAAAGTAAAAAGGATAAACAGCAAAGAGGAACTCAGCCAGGGCTTGCAGGAAATCCTCAGTCAATGGTTTGACCCTTTAAAATGGAAAGGAATGAGCAAAGGAGAGCGTCCCACCCCTGGAAGGACAGGAGCCCACCTCCTCGTGCTGAAATTCTGCCTCATGCAGTCCATGCCTGAGCACTGCTATCACTGCAAGTGGGCACTGCAAGTGTCTGTACAACCTGCTTGAACCCCCAGCTCCGCTTCTCCCGGGGCTAAAGGAAAGTTTTGTTACTCAACTCCTGCACTGAGGACTGTCAGCACGCTGGTGGGCAGAGCCGGTCCAGGGGAAAGGTGCTAATTGCTGCAGTGAGAGCAGCTAATTGCTGGCACACTGAAAGCCAAAGTTCTGTCAGCTACACGGCAGGTATGGAGTACTTCATTTCAAGTCACTGCACCATCTCAGGGCACCTCAAGGCTTCCCTCCTTCCTCCAGCCACTGCATACGCCTTCACCAGTCAGTGGCTGCTGGTTTCCAACAGGGGGGAGCTCCCCACATCCCCTCATCCTCACTGCTTGGTGCTCTCACTGCCCCCATCACAGCTCCAGACCACGTGCCCCCAACCAGGCACCTCCTCTCTGTGCGCCCACAGCACCAGAGATGCCCCCACTCCCTTCGCAACACAGCCCCCAGCAGCCCATCCAAAGGCTCACATCCAGCTTCAGCAATTCCTTTTGCAAAACCCAAAGGCGTTTCTTTAAGCCACACAGAAGGGGCTGCTCCCCACTCCCAGCTCGCTGTCCCACACCAGGATCTGAGCTCAGCACCTGGCCCTGTTTCTGCCCCACCATGTGGAACACGAGGCTGCTCTCACCCTTAGGTTTCAGAGCCAGCAGTGCCAAGGCAATCAGGTGCAGCTCATCAAGCCCTGAGGCCCGCTCAGAGCGAGGATACCTCCAACAAGAGCTCTCCCACCCCCAGCACAGGCAGTTTGCTGCTTTCTTCACACACCAACAAACCTCAGTTCCAACCTCTCCAGCAAATCACATCGCGGGGATTTGAGGCGGTAGAATCAAATCTGTATCAGAAACAACGGAACCAACGGTGCAGAGGGAGGAACCAACACAACCCTCACGTCCTCCTTCGGTCCAACCTTGTGTGCAGCCCCAGACCCACCCTGCTGGGCTGCAGAACCCGCATCAGGGCTGACCCAGCATCCCGACATCGGCCCGCGGGTCCCAGCCCACTTACCAGGAAACGGACATCATCAAAGCCGTTCAAAAGCAGCTTACTCTCGTACTGCTGCAGGCCGATGGACTCCAGCCACTCCCCCACGCTCTGCTCCAGCATCCGAGAACCTGACGAGAGAGGAATCGGCAGACGCTTGAAAAGGGAAAAACTGTTAAGGCGGTAGCAGCGGCACTCTGAGGAAGACAGATGGCATTGCCACATCATAGTCATTACCATAAAGAAACTCAAAAAATTATGCTCAGAGTACAATCAATGGGCTGGCAGACAATTCCTCTCGTGTGCACAGAGCACGGACAACAAGCCTCCAGCACATCCAAAGGCTCCGGGTCTAATTGTATCCCAATGAGCACTCAGAGAAAGGAACCCCGCGCCTGAGCAAAGCGCCCTGGGAGCAGGACGTCATCACATGCACTGCTTGCAGGGCTCGGGCAGCTCCTCGCCAGGCAAACACACAAAGCCCAACCCCACGGGGATGCTGGTGCTCTCCTTGGTTCATCAGAAGGGGTGGGAGGAGGGCGGCCGACTTCCAGCCCCGCACTCCCCGCTGGGCACAACCAGGAGCGCCGCTCAGGATCGCGCAACACCGTGTGGCTCCTCTGCTCCACGTGGCTTTGGGTGCGCTGCGCTGCCCAGCGGGGCTGCAGGGAGGGCCAGGAGCAGTGAGGGCACAAAGCAGCTAGAGAGAAAATGCATCTTCATGCAGCTGGGACACAGAACGCACATGGCAGAGGTTCAGGAAAGCAGCAGAAGCCAGACCAGAGCAGCTGTCCGCAGAAAGACATGCAAGACAAAGAAAGCACACAAACTGCAGCAGAAGATAAGAAGGGCTTTTACTTTTTTTCCCCAAGCAGTCCTGAAAGAGGCAAACCATGGTAAGGGCTTTTTCTTTCCATTAGTGCGTTAGGAGGAGCAGAGGAGCGAGTGACCCCGAGCACGAATCTGAGGGTCCCAACACAGTCATGTCACCGCCTATCCAGACGATGGCACCTGGGCACGCTGCTCGTGCCGGGCTGGCAGAGCCCAGCTACACCTGCACGTGGGCTGACAGCCAGGAGGGCAGAGAAACCGGTGCCCCCAGTGCTGGCAGCTGCCTGGTGCACGCTGCTGTTTGCCCTTCCGTCATGTTCTGCAGCTGAGCGCGGCTGCTGCATGCGAGCCCCTGATTCAGAGGGGCAGCAGCTCTGGAGATTGAGGCATTTCAGTTCCTTGCTTCCAAGCTGCGGCCAAACAAAAAGAGACCAAGAGCGAGCACACCCTCTGCTCCTCCTGCAGCAGCTCAAGTCTGAGATGTGCCTCAGCAGCTCCTGGCAGCCTCTGGTAAACGAGGATCTTCCCAACAGCCCGCAGCAGCTTTACAGACAAGCTCTCCTTCCTTCACCCCTGGGAAGAGAAATCTGGGGACTTGTTACTCTCCTCTGGAAAAGCTTAAGAGATGACAAGAAAAGTTCAGAGATCTCCTTCTCATCAGGGCATTTGCTATGCAAGACAGCAGGATTTTCTTCAGTCTGCTCAGCACGTCTGTGTTTCAAGGGTATATGCAAATAAAAAGATGATCAAGAAAAGAAAAAAAAGAAACCAACCAACACCGAGTTTGCTTCCTTTGAAGCTTCAGGTCACCTGCAGCTGTGTGCAACCCTCCGAGCCGTCCTTCCACCCCCGCCCACTGCAATGGCTGCACGGTGTGGAGCTCGCAGCGCTGCCTGGAGACGCTTGGGGTAAAGGATCCTCCAGGAGAGCCGGGGTCAGGAGAGCGGCCAGCCCTCCTAGCACAGCTGCAGCACGAGAGATGCAGAGATCACCAAGGGCCGCTGTCTTCCTCCCCTAACGCAGCCTGTGCAGAAGGGCAGCATTCAAGCCTGGCATTGCCGTGCCGAGCTCCGGGCTCTCCATCCTTCCCTCCTGTGGGTTCCCCCGTTGCGCAGGCAGCCGGCAGCAATCGCGTGTCCTTGCAGAGCTGCAGCAGTGCTTTGTCTGAAGGCAGCCAGCTCCACGCTCGCAGTCCTGTCTGCTGCTCTCGCATCGCCTGTCCCTCCCTTCTCTCCATCCTCTTTTACCCCTCCCAGCTTTTCCATCCAGCAAGCAGCCTTCGCAGCAGAAGCTGTAGGAGAGGGGAGGGAGACGGCAGCTTTATCACCCTCCAGTGGAAATGACTGACTTCTCAGTGTTTGCTCGGTGACGGACTGCACGGCTCGGGTTTTCAAAGAAACGATGTTACAGGGCTGCTCTGACAGCTCCAAGTGATTTGTGGCTGCGTGAGAATTAATTTATTGAGAGGGAGGCGAGGGAACGGCTCGCTGTGCACCACGGCGTTTCTGGAGGCAGTCGGGGTGTTGGCACGGGGGAACAAAACCACAGCAGCTCCTTCCCCTCAGCTCCTGAATTTGCTTTAAAAAAATATTATTTACTCCACCTTTTGTACACTCATAAATGTATTTCTGCTTTTAAAGGAGAAAATCTGCAGTAACGCCAAGCTCAGGCTTTCTGGTTTAGAAACCACTTCAAATGAAGGCAAAATGAACGGGGCTGTTTGGAAAGGGGAATGGAGGGGTTAACTGTACAAAGAAAAAGAGAACAGATGCCTTGGACATCCCTGACTAAAGCCAGAAAAGTCCATGAGATGTGCATCTTCCGAGGATGACACGGGAGCAGATCATTGCCAGCCTCCGTGCCCCCCAGCAAGAGCCTGATCACAACTTCTGATTAAAATAAACGGCTCATTCTCAGCCAACTCAGCTCCTTCCTCCTCCTTCCGCTCCAAATTTCAGGAATCCTGCCTTTAAAAGGTCACGGGGAATGCTGTGGAAGGGGAACAGCGGGCAGAACGTAGTTAGAAATAATTAAAAGTAGTAGTAAAAAGCAAGGCAAGCAATTCGGTTCCTCTCACAACGTTTCTCAGGTGACAAAGCACACCTCAAAGAAAACAGTGAAGGGACAGGGGCACGGTGGGCTCAGGGAGGTCTCTGTACACCTCACTGTTTCCTTGAGGAAGGAATAAGCCTGACGGACAGCATCACCCCATGCGCCCACAAAGCACAACCTGACGTGGTCTGAGGGCACCCAGCCAAGCTTCACCAGGAATAAAAGGCTGCGAAACCAAGCCAGCCTTGACAGAAGAGCCGTCCACACACACAGACAACATGTAGAAGAAGCAAGGCAGGCATTTGTTGCTACAGCTGGGGCTGATGAGAGCTGGAAGTCCTTAAACCTACAGATGGGGCTACGAGCTCAGGCAGTGCATGAGGCAAGAAGGATGAAGCCATTAGTGCTGTCAGATGCAAGAAATACAACTTTACTGGAACTAAAATCCATTAGCCAAATGCAGACTGCTAATATTTCTTCCTCTTTTGCCCAGCCAAACACCAGGCATGTTTCTCACGTCTCAAGCCAAGTGCAGAGGTAACTCACTGAGCCCCAGAGGTAACTGCTGTCCCTGCAGCAACACCTCTGCCTGCACCAGGCCGATTCACAGAGCACAACCCACTCAGCTCCTCAATTCTGAGCACAGGAATGCTGCCTGATGAAGCCCAGCCAGCAGCACACAGGTTTCCTTGCTGAAGCCAGCAGCCCCTGTCCCAGTGCCCCATGGCTGCAAGGAAGAAGGGGTGAGCAGGAGCTCAATAGAACGTGCGACTGCAAAGCAGAGGTGCACAGAGACAGACTGAATGCAAACATCTCTTCCCAGGTCAAAAAAGCCTTGAGGGTGAGGGTTAAGAACCCCTTAAGAGATGCTGTTCCTTGATCCTTTATCATCCCAGAAACACTTACCAACACACAACAGATGGACCCCCTTCCCCCCACCTACACCTCCCCATCATCAGGATTCTGCTGGAGAAACACACCTGAAAGGCTTCCTCATGTGCTCCAGCAGGAAATCAGGGGCTGAACCTGCTGGCCCAGATGATTGGGTTTACACAGCAAGGGTTTGGGGATGGAGCAGTGGCTCTGTTATGCTGTTTTACAGGAGAGGAACCAGGGGTGCAGAAGTTTGCCTGGATTTGCAAGGGGCACAGCAGGGGCCAGCCCTCGTCCCAGCACAACTCCAAGGTCCCCTGCTTCTCCTAAATCCAAAGCAACTGTATGTGACAACCACTTGTATGCACACACCCAAGCACGCTGAGCTCCACAGCAGCTGCCAAAGAAGGCACTGAGCCTCTACAAGCAAATCAGTGATCCCAGGCACAAAACGAGTCAGAAGCCCCAGTGTTCTCAAAACCCATCCAATTTTGGAGATGGGAGCGCAGTTGGGAAGCGCCCTGCACGTTAGCGAGGCTGTTCTGATCCATCAGAACAGCCCTTGCAAACTTCTGAGCAGCAAAAGAGAAACGATGCCAGAAAAAAGAAGGGCTGGGCTGTGGGCAGTGCAGGACGTGCTCCGACCTCACAGCAAGGGGCTGGCAGAGCATCCCTGCCTTCACTGCAATGGAAAGGAAAGCACGGCTGCAGATCTGCATGCAGGGCAGCCCTGAGCACGAGGCAGCTCAGCCCGTGGGGATACGCAGCACAGGGAGCAGGCAGCTCACGGCTCTGCCTGCTGCTAAGCCGAGTGTCCATTTTGCTGCGAACTCTGCACAGCTGCAGCTTCTGCCGAGGTGCAAAGCTCCTCCTCTCCCCTCCATGTTAGCCCTCTTCCCTAATGATATCGATCAATCACACGCGCTGCGACAGCCACAGCCTGCGGTGGGGAGAGGAGGGGGCTTGGCAGCATGCTGGGTGCTGAGCAGCTGCCGTTGGACTGGACCAAACCCCACACAGCACCCCTGCAAAGCCCTCTGGCCCTGGGAAACATAAAGCCCTGATCAGTATTTAGGGCAGGCATGGGTTAACCCCCCGCTGTGGGCACACGGGGGTCCCTCCTCACCAAAGCAAAAGCCCAAGTGACAAATGGATCGAGATTAGCTGCACTCAGCAGGCGTGAGCTGCATGTGCAGATGTGTATTAGCATCTCATCAGTGGGAGATGCTGCCCACTCGGAGCAGTTTGGAGGTGAGAGATGCAGGAGGACAGAGTCCCTGGGGGTGCAGCTCTCCTGTGTCCTCCATCACACCACAGGAAGACAAACAAGCCGAGTTCTGCTTTTGTCTCTGCTTCTGACTAAATGCAGAGAGAGGAATTCATTCATCAAGTACAGGGGAAAAACCTCTGCTGCAGGCAGCCTTGCTTAGTGCATAGCAGCACCTCCAGCTGTGCTTGAAAAAGCCTGGCATCGCCCACATCTGTGAGCACAGCAGACTGACCCCATCCAAAGAACTCAGCCAGCACAACAGCCACACTGACCTGCAGCTGGAACCTGCCCAGCCTTGCTCCAGCAGTGATGGGGAGGAAGATCCCACAGAGAGACCCAGGAGCACCTGGAGGAGGCTGTGGCCCCGGGCAGGCAGGGCAGCTCCTGGCTCCTCGCACAGTGCCACGAGGTTGGTGTCCCAAAGGACGGCTCTGCCACCACTGAACTCTCACTGACAAAAAGCATTTCCTATGCCAACATCTTCAAGGCTCGGGTTGTCTGCAACCCTTGAGCAGTACACGATATTCAGTCCCCCTCGGTCCCCAGACAGCAAAGCTCACCAGCATCCATTTAATCAAGCTCTGCTCGCCGTGTCTCACTCCAAACAGCCGCATTTCAAAGGCTCCATTAAAGCCAAGCAATTATCTCCTCCTTTGAAGCCCAGCATCACTCCATACATTGAGGACTCACAGCTCCGCCCGCAGCAGCGGAAGGAACAAATTCATCACCAGCTGCTGCTTTCCAGAGTGAAGCTGCATTTTGGGGAGAGAATTAATCCTCAGGAGCATCTCAGCCATGTAGAAGTGCTGGGGAGCGGTGGGCTGCTCTGCGTGGGACAGAGGCACATCCAGGGACATCTGCACTGACATCAGGACTCCATCAGTCCCACTTCCCCTTCCTATGCACTTTCCTCAAAAGAAAGAACAAAAACTATGGGATAAAAGCCTTGTCAACGTTGGGTGAAAGCAGACGGAAGCTCAGAAGGCTCCTGGTTGGCACGCGGAGCCAGGACACACAATGAGGCCACTGCAGGAGGAAGATTTCTTTCAATCAACTTGGTTCTGACAGCTGCTGTGCATCCTGAACCCAAACTCAGGGCCAGCAGCTCTATTCCACACACCTCAACCTCCTCCACTTACAACATTTATGAAAATGAAAGTGTTTTAACCCGGGATCATCTCCCGATGCTGCATTGCGGAGATAAGAGTTATAACAGTTGCTGGAGGAGGATGCTGCTCTGTTTGAGGAAAATCAATGCGCTCAATGACACCAGGATCCCTCCCTCACCTTGGCTCAAGGAAATTTCTAACGGCAAAGACAAAAGGCACAGCCCCACCATCTCATGCACCATTAATAAAACCAATACAGCCGTGTGCTTCAAGGTCACAGAAGCATGGAGGTAAGAGATGTACCAAGAAATGATGTGATGTCTTGCGTCTGCTGGGGCAATGACAGGGCATCTGGAGTTCCACAGGTGGAAAGCTGGCAAAGAGGCCTAAAAATATTCCAGCAAAATTCCAGTAATGGGGGAGAAAATGACCCCAAAGCCCATGTCAACCCTAATCACAGGGCTGGTTTTGCTCCCCTCTGTGCTGACTTTTAAGACATTCAGGAGGCTGCAATCAGGATATTTTTCTTCTCCTAATCCAACACAAAGCTGTGCCATGCACTGCACAGATGACAGACCTCCTGGTGGCTAATTTTAGTTGCTCCCTGGAGCAGCTCACTCAGGCTGGAGCACCCAGGGCTGCACTGCATGTGGCTGAGTGCCACGTCAGGCTGTGACGTGAGCTGGGATGTGGATGTAAAAGCCACCTACTGCACCTTGCTGTGAGTCACGGCTGGGTGGCACCTGGGTACAGGCAGTATTGGAAGATTAAACGCTCCTTCCTCTCCTTTGGCCTGAACGCTGAAGAAGAAAGGGAAACAGACCCCTCCCCATTGGGTTTGAGACTTGAAGACTAATCCACACAACAGATTTGGGACTCTTAAATACACAAAAAGCTGCTGCAGACACCAAAAACTGCTGGCAGCAGTCACACCGACACAAAGCACAGAACCCCCGTCCCATCCTCTAAACAAAAGCATTTTGTGAGCCTTAAGGAGCACAACACGCGTGTGTGGAGGGCTGTCAAGTGCTCTGCTCACATCTGAAGGGATGGATCCACGCTTATGTAACAAAAATGAGCATCTTGCTGCTCCATTATGCATGTGAAACAAAAGCAAGCTTGTCGTGGGGTGGTGAGAGCAGCCAACATGCAAACATGCAGCAGCTCCATTTCAGAGCAACTGCTTAAAGAAAGTTCTTTGTTATCCAGCAGAGAAGAGCAGAAACTCAAGACAAACATATTTGGAGAGGCAGGAGAGAGCTGGAAGCAATTGGTCCAACTTAGCAGCTCTGCTGAGAAGAACAGTAACTAAAGGAGGTTGGCAATCAGTAGAGCTTTTTCTCCCCTGGGTGCAGGCTGGAGCCCTTACAACACCTCTCAGCTGCACTGAATCCTTTGGTACGTGCAGAAGATCTGATCTCCCTCCTACACATCAAGCAAACACCAGTGGGGATGTGCTCAGGTTGAGGAGAGGCCATGGGCCACACACCCTGGAGCTGACTTCATTGCAGCAGACTCGCAGAATAGCACAGAACATGTCCCAGGCAGCTGACAGCACCCAGCCCTTCCCACCTGCAGGGAAGGACTGCAAGGAGCTGCTCCAGCTCTTGGAAGCTGCCAACAAAAGGGAATCATAGGATCCCAGAATGTCCTGGGTTGCAAAGGAGCACAGTGCTCATCTCCTTCCAACCCCCTGCTGTGTGCAGGTCGCCAACCAGCAGCCCAGGCTGCCCAGAGCCACATCCAGCCTGGCCTTGAATGCCTGCAGGGATGGGGCATCCACAGCCTCCTTGGGCAACCTGTGCCAGTGCCTCACCACCCTCTGATGGGAAGGGAAGGAGAGATGTGCTCAGCTGTGCTGCAGCCATCCCTCTTGGAGCCACGGTTGGGTCACAGCAGCCAGAACACGGCTTTGCTCTGGGCAAAACCACAAAGACACACACACACACGAGCTGGGTACGCTACCTGAGATCCTCTGCTGCTCCTGGGAGAAGTCGATGCCTTCGCCAATGGAGCTCATGATTTTCTCAATCTGGAAATAAAACAAGAAGCAGGTGCTGTGTTACTGACAGAGCAGGAAGGCAGTCCCAGGGTTTTGTCCACCACAGGCAGCCAGAGGGATCCCACACACAACCACTAAGGTGCCTCTGAGCACAGCGCCCTGCCTGGACAGCCCTTCTCTCGGGTGGGTCACTCAAAGGGATGCAGAGAAGTTGTGATGCTACAGAGCCTTCCCTCCAGCCCCCTGCCCATGCCTGAAAACCATCAGCTGCAAGAAACCCATCCCTCTGGAGCATAAACCTCAGGAGGAGAACGGGATCCCCGAAGCTTTCAGCTCTACCTTCAGGAGCACACAGCCTCCCTTGCCTAGAAGGAGTTTGAAAAGAGATCAAGCTTGCAAAAGCAACGTGGGGGGCAAATGCCTCAGCTGCCCAGGAGAGGGAGCAAGAGACAATCCCATCCATCTGTGCAAACCAAGGGATGGAAGCAAAGCACATGCAATTAAGACACAGCACAAAACCACTGCCTGCAGTGGTATCTTTAGCACTGGACATAAATGAACGCCTTTGCAAAAGACAAAGGAAACAAAGTTAAGGTTGTGCCAGTTGGGAAGCTGGCAGTGACAGCCAGCAGGTTAATGCTGCTCAGATGGAATCTGAGATCTGATCTGATAAATTGCAGCTCAAATCTGAATTTCTAGTAGCTGAAAGCACAGACCAATGAAAGCCCAGTATTTTTCAGAGAGCAATGGGACCCCGGAGAGGCTCAGGTCTGCTCGCTTACCTCTGTCTCCAATCCATAACCAGGCAGAAAATAAAACCACAAAGAGCCCCCAGAGACATTCCCAAACAGAAACCTCCCTGCCCAGCACTCCTGCAAGGCTTGCTGCTGAACACAAAGCTGGTGCACAGTCTGAAACACAGGGCAACAAACCTCAGCCCTTATACAACTTTTTCTTTCTGGCCTTTTTGAGGACAGGTTTGGGAATGGAGGCTGAGTTATCCTGGACCCTCTGCTCCCCAGGTGCCAGTAGCAGCAGTGCAAAGCTCAGGGCTGGACTCTGTTAGGGCTGGCAAACAGCACACAGCCCATCTGCAGAGGCTTCTGACAACCCACATCTCCAGTACAGCCCTCCTGGTCCAGCACACGCTGCCAAAGGGGCACTGATGGAGCAGCAGGGTGAGCGGCCAGAGCCCCGAATCCTGACGGAGAATGGATGTGATTGCCTGGGATGCGATGGCTTTTGCTTCCACAAGACACATCGTTCAGAACTTCCATCAGAAATCACAAGCTGCTTGTACAAGAAATGGGATTTGGAGCTCAAAGGATGCAATAAGAAAGAATGAGGTCATATAAGCAGCAAAATTATCCCAATTCCAAGCAGACAAAGATGGCACTTAAGTGACAAGCATAACATGAAACATGTGCAGGGCGGCTCGGTTTGCAGTGCTCACATCACCAACCCTCCTTCAGACACAAATGCCACAGCCGGTCATCATCCCATCAAATCTGGCTATTTAGGGTCACTGAGGCTGGATAAAATAAGGAAGTCCCAGAAATGCAGCTTTGAGAACTGCAGGAAAAAATAATCATCTTGTTTCTCAGCTCAACTTAAGGCCCTTCCATAAATCAGCAACTTCGCAGCAGCTCTAAGTGTGGGGTCAGCAAAACTGGAACTGCTTAAGAGGAAATAACTGCATTTTGCTGAGTATTTCTTTGACTACAACTATGCCTGCTAACTCCTCTCCTCCACTGGAGGCATTTTGGCATTCATCTCGGCTCCATCAGCTCTGCTCCTCTCCACGAGCTCAGCTCTGAAGAGCTTTTCCACTTCTCATTACTTGGGATGAAGCTCAAAGGACGTGTGAGGGATGCAGCAGCCATTGCTCGAGCCTGCAGATGACATCAGGTAACTGAAGAGCATCGATTCCTGCATCTGTTTGTGGGGGAATGTTACTGAGACAACCTGAGGGTCTCAATGCATGTTTTGCAGCCAGAACCACCTGCTTTAACTGCTTTTGCCCCAGCAAAGCCTTGAAATTTCACGTATGTACCATCAGCACAGAAAGGCCATGAAATACTTGAGGAAAATACTGGGACGGTGCAGAATAAACCTCATCTCCAAATAAGACCGAGGGCTTTGGTACTGCCTGCTTTAGTCCTGGGCTGAGCCTAGGCAGCAGCAGATGCTGGAAGCACTGCCCTCACCACGGGCTGACACCATGACAGATCTGCTTCCTTCCTTGCTTGTGGTTGTTTCCATAGCTGGATCCAAAGCAAGGCTTAATTGTGGGAGCCAGGCCAAGCTCCCCGGTGCAGTGACTGCTCTCCCTGCAGGAGCTCAGTGCTTCCCAAGCTCTGACAGCTCTGTGCTGAAGACGTGCAGGTGCTCCTGCAGCACTAAAACGCCCACCAACCTTTCCTCAAAAGCAGGGGGTTGCCCAGTGCTCTGTAAAGCTGAATGGCAGGGGAAGAACCACGTGGCAGAGGATCACCTTTCGGGTTCACCCTTTGCTAAACACTGGGTCCATCCAGAGACAGTCTGGGCGATGCAGAAGGGCTGCAACTCACAAAGCAATCCTGCTTCCCCCTCCCTTTGTGCCACGAAGCTCAATGCCAGCCCACAAACCTGGCTGACCACCTCATCTAGGTGCTAAGAATAAGCTGCACAGATACAGAAACCGGGGAGGGACACATCCCTGTCCTCCACACCTGGTCCTCAGCTGCACTCCGTGGCACTGAGATGGGGATGGAAGAGAGGATACCTTGAAAACAGCACACACTAATGCTTTTTTTGGGCTGCTCTTTCCCAGTGGTTAATTATTTAAATACAAAAATACCGTGTTTAAATATAGTGCTGCAGTTCAGACTTGGTTTTACGCTGAACACTCAGTTCCAATTCGTTTTGGCTTAACCTGTTTTTTTCCACTGAAACACCACGCATCCATCTCCAAACAGGTTGTGTGTTTTCATTTTCCTCCTTTTGCACCCATAGAAATAAAACCACAGGATCCCTCTGTGGGATTTATACAACTGTGCCCATTACTCCTAATCTGGAGGGTGCAGGAGGATCTGCATCATGAAGCTCCTTTGGCCCATGAGCCATAAGCAACAGCCCTACAAGGAAAGGAGACAAAGCGCTGCAAAGCTAAAATGCTTTGGTAGAAAGGAAGGGAGACAGTCCTTCAGCAAAGCCAAAAAACAAGAGGTGCAACGCTGCAGAGAGCTTGTGAGCACTGATAGATCTGCACGTTTGCTTAAGCCCTGCTGAAAAATAAAACTGTCCTCAGAAAGGAGCTGGGTGCGGCTCAGCATCACCCTTGGGCTGGGAAGTGGTGAGTGCTTCCACGCAGGCAGGCAAGCAGCCACAGAAACATAGCAACTGCAACTGAGTCCAAAACAGAGCTCTGTCTTAAAACAAACCACCCCGAGCAGCTGAGTTCTCATTCACGGGGGAAAGAGGCATTTGTTTGTAGAAGACCTGTAGAAGCCAAGCTGGATGCTGGAGCTGGTCCTCCTGCAAATACCTCCTCACCCCACAGCATTCCAGGCAGCAGGATGCAGCGGTCAGACGTGAGCAGGACACAAAGTGCTGCCCCATAAACATCCCCATTGGACAGCGTTCTGCAGAGGGTGCCACGCAGCACAGGGGGCAAAAATGATGCCCTGCACCCAGCACTGATGCTATGGGGCTCCGCCCCCCCGTCCTGATGGGTAGGAGCATGGGGTCCGTGGTGGGGTCTGTATTTGTCTGTCTTTTTTCCCTCCACTGAAGTTTGGAGCCAGCAAATCCATTGAGAGAGACAGAGGGTGGTTAATAAGTGCCAGGGGGCTTTTGTCACCAAAATAAAGCCGGGCTTCATGCAGTAGCAGCAGCCTGCAGCCGTTCATTTGCATGCAGGGAAAGGGAGCTCCATTCAGAAAGCACAGCTCTGAGCAGTGCTCCCTTAGTGCGGCTCTCACCCTGGTTTGGGGGCATCTGTGTGCTACAGGAGCTTTCTGCAAGGGGGGTTTATAAAAACAAGCCCACTGCAGAAAAGCCCTTAATTTACCATGGATACAAAAGCACAACTTTTGTGCTTGGTCTCCGCATGCAGCATCAGTGATTCCCAAGGACACAGCAAGGTTGTCCTGGGATGAGAAGTAACACAGATGGGCACGTCAGCATCTGGGAAAGCAGCTTCTGCACAGAGCTCCACAGCTCTGCTCCCCCAGATGGGCTCTGAGCAGAGCTTCCCCCCCACAGCCCCTCAGAGAATGGGCAAAGCCTGAACTGCTCTGTCCCCAGCAGAGCCCCACAGCCACACCAGAGCCCACAGCTCCCACAGTTCCCACAGGGAACGCATGCCCCTGCACTGCCCGTTTCTGCACACCATCACCGTCACGATCCATGCACGCCTCAGTGCACAAAGGAGACACTTCTGATGCTTTTACCCTGGAACAAAACCACAGTGTTCTGAGCTAACACCGGGGCACCACGCAACCGAGTGCTTCCCCTCCAAATCCCCGTAACAACTTCAGACTTGTTCTCAATTACACATAAGCAGAACAAGATGCAATGGAGCTTTGCTCCCCTGCTACCGTGGGGCACTGTCAGCGCCACCACCGCAGCACACACAGCACAGCAGGGGTCTCTTCCAAGCCCTGCTGCTGCCCCCCAGGCTCAGCTCCCCCCATGATGCACTTTCTGGGGC